CTGAGATTGTTTTACAAACCCAGTAATACTTTGCCCGACCCGGGAATCGAACCCGAAACCCACTCGGCCAACGAGGCAGTCGTAAAATAAATAGTACCCATACTTAAGTACCAACGTTGCCAGTCTGTGTTTCCTGAAACGTATAAACTGGGTTTTTCAAGGCCCGAGTGAATAGGTTGCTTATGGGACGACGTGATCCATCATAGGCCACATTATCGTTTACCACCAGGCGAGATAGTGGTCCATTAAATATAGAAAAAAAAACTTATAAAAATACACCTGAATGTTATCTACCTAGACAAAGATATTAACTGCAATCCATAATTAACCAAACTAAAGATGTGACAAAAAGTAACATATTTAAACTATTTTACAACAGGCTCTGCCACACCCTACGGTGGATACGGGGGTTACGGTGGCTACGGAGGCTATGGAGGATATGGACACCACGACCATTACCATCACGACCATCATGACCACCACGACTACCATCACGGACACCACGATTACGAACATAAGGAGAAGCCCAAAACTACGGAAGCGCCTACGACAACAACAACCACTACAACTACGACCACCACCACCCCTCCTCCCCCACCCCCTCCCCCGATGGAGCAGCACAATGACTTTGCCCAGATCTTTGGCCAAGGTTTTGAACAGCAAACCAGTTTCAATGCCCAGGCATCAGCCAGTGGGGAACTAGGCTTCAGTCAAACGCAAGGTGCCAAAGCTGCTGAAGAGACCCAAACTCAGAAACCCTACAATGAGCACAAAGAACACAAGGAACACGGACACTACGGCCACGGCTACGGACATGGCTACCACGGATACCATGGTTACGGACACTATTAAGGCTATTTATTTTATGTAATGTAAGAATTAAATATTTATTATTCGTATGTTTGTTTTTATTCCGTAATAGATGTAAGTGACGTTTAGTTACGTCTTTTATTTTCTGAAGTAAGTATCTAGAGATACATATACTCGGATCAATAGGTATCAGGTACAAGATTCATATCCAAAACCCCTAGCTAGTATCTGGTTGAAAATTATTTTGGAATTCAAACTATTTATACTCAGGACGTAGTATATCCTCCTTTGTTCATTACAAATCAGGCCACTGACACGAAATGAGAACATCTTCTAAAAAATAACTTGATTCTACATTCAAAATTTCGTAATAGGAAAACAAAGGCCAAATTGATTCAGTATAATTTTAAAATTCATCATAAAACCATACTAATTTTTCGTAAAATCTATAAAAATATTTTTTTAGAACAATAACATAGTAAAATTAATAAGAAATAACTGTATAGTATCTATTATTATTATCTATTATAGTATCTAGTATTTTTATTTTTTAACAAAATTCTTACTGCAAGATGTTCGGCTTCGGAGGTAAGAAATTAATTTATTCAGTCCTTCATATGCTTTCCTTTCCTTGCTTCCTAAAGCACGGTCGGTTTTAAAGTTTTCATTTTTACATTAGGAAGCATCCCATTTCAAAATGACATAATCAGAACCTATCTATTCTATTTCAAATGTTTCTGTAATGAAAACTGAATTAAAAACATTTGTTCCCAGGGTGCGGATTCGGGGGACCCCAGGGCTTCAGTAGTCCTCAAGGCTTTGGAGGCGGTTTTGGCGGACAGAGCTTTGGTCAAGGATTCGGCCAGGGCATGCAAGGCGGATTCGGACAAGGCCAAAGCGGGTTTAGGCCCGGGATGCAACAAGCCGGGTTTGGCGGTGCAGGGTACGGCGGCAGTAGCGGCGGTGGGCAGGCAAGCTTCGGAGGCAATCAAGGCATGTACGGCGGAAATATGCAAAATGGTTTGCAAGCTTCGCGACAAGGCCAAGGACAAAGTCAAAGCGGCTACAGCCAGCAGGCCAGCTACGGTGGTGGCCAGGCCGGCTACGGGAGCAGCTACCAAAGCGGATACGGTCAATAGTCCAGTCCTGTCCATTGTGCAATATAACTTTACTATAAGTGTAACAAGTTTGTGATTAAAAGTCAGCGTTATTTGCGTTATAGTCAGGTCTTTTGAAATAAAACGTATTAGTGAGTTATTCATGACTTTTATTTAATGTCTAATCTTGATTACATACGTTCATGGTGTGACACTTGCTCTAATCACTTATACCCACAGACTCTTTAGCAAGAGCTTTTCTGTTATGCATCTACTAATACACACACAGCACACTGGTCAATAGCACTCGCTAGTACCTACCCACCATCCAGCCGTTTTCATAGGGGCGGTGCAACTTCCGTACCATGAACAGCATCTTATTACCCAACAACACACCTGACCCTTCATAAACCGATTGACAGATCATCATCATCAGCCGGAAGACGTCCACTCCTGAAAAGGCCTCAACCCTTCGTCTTCTACGTCGAACGACAACTCTTCATTTGCATCCAATGCCGAGCAGGCCGACGGGCCTGCCCATGCGACTTCTTCCGGTCCGCGGTCGGCACTTTCTGGCGGGCCAAGAAAGTAGTGGGCCATCAGCATAGATTAATATAAGTAGGTACTGTAACCATCAGTCCTTCGAGCGACGTGGTCTGCCCCTTACCGCTTCAGCTTGCAGATTTTGAGAGCTGTCTGTAATTGGTTCTTTGTCGAATTTACACATTTCGGATTTTATTGCGCAAAGAAACTAAGCATAGTTTTCTACATCGCTCGCTGGGCAATTCTAGTCTCTAAAAGTTAGGGATCATGTCTCAATACCGTAGGTATATAGTCATCACTGCTGCACTGATCGACATAGACACAGGGGGCTGGAACTCAAATAGATTAGCAATAAGCTAGCGATAGGTATGTGGTATAATCGTTGGGGCGACAGGTCTCGTAGAATTACTGTGCACAGTGCATATGTGGCACCTAAAGGCTCGTACATAACGTCTCAATCCCCACTACCACCCCCTTTCATTTCATGGGCATTAATGCATCAATAATAACTAGTCTGCCATTCTGGATCACACAGTCCCATAGCAAGATTCTACAAATGATTAATCAGTTGAAAATACCTACCTTTTTTTAAACCGAGTGACACGATCACGATTCACGATTAGGCCGGCACAAACAAACATAGGAACACGTTGCAAGTTTATAAAAATGAAACACTGGAATCATAAAACAATATTATTTATTTTTCATTGTATTACATGTCGTCTATCTGCATTTGTCATAATTTCCGACGTAAGTCTCACTCGATCAAATAAGAGGGCAAATTAATATCAAGCACAATGTCTCTTTATATAAATCTATCACGTATGAGAAAATCTACTTTCTGTTTATTATAGAAAAATACACGTCCTCAGTGCTTTAAACGCCTAATCTATGACGAATTCACCACCAACCTGAAGAAGTACGTAAGTGCAAAAATACTATTTATATTTATCTATAAATACCACTCCCAACGTACGCTACAAACTATTGTGATTAATTTTCAACATTTGCAGTTACGTCTTTCTTCATCATTGGCATAATTTATACTTTTTATCGTTACACTGTGCATATTAATTGGACTGTGATCATAAAATTACATTATATTATTACTTTATAACAAACGCACCGTCAATGATGTTATAATTTTCCATTATTAGTATCACTATGATTTAAATCTTATTTCTGTTCAAAATAAATAAAAATCCAAACATCTAAATAAATATATTTAAGTTCTACTATTTACATTTCTAACAATTATATACACAGATCAATAATTTATATTATATATTATGTAATAATAAAACGAAAAAGCGTTTTTTATCTATATCTCGACTAACATTAAAGCATTATAGAAGGCGAATAAACGAACACTATTATTACAATCATATTTATTTACTTCGAGATAGTTACACCATCAGCCGCCATCTTGTGGTCAAACGTAACCCATGGTACTATAAAGCTGGAGACATACTATTGAGACGTGACGTGACGCAACGAAACGCAATGCGTGTTGATTGTTCATTTTTGATGGCTATAACAAGTCAAACAAAACGATGTTTCTTGTATCGTGAGTACGTTAATAACAGTGATCAAAAGTGTCAATTAGGAAAATAAAAAACAAATTAACCTGCATTGAGTAGCGTCCAATCAGGTCACATTTGTATAGTATGTCTCCAATATAGCACATTATCCACGTCCAACGGTACCCTGTCACAAGCGATATAAAGAAAACGATTTAGTAACTACGTCACATAAAGGTTCTATAACAATAACTTGTATTACATACATCTGTTAGTTAAATTATCATATGAGCAATAATAATATAAAATTATATTCAAATGGCCATGAAACAAACGGTTGTCGTTTAAGTCTGCCTGTAACCCCTCTAAAACCTCTTTGCATACATTCTTCTAATTTTCTAATTATTGCTATAATTATAATTTATCGATTACATTGAAGACATATTACACGACAAACGACAATGTGATTCCATTTTCAAACATTTAACGGACAAATAAAATATGTTAGAAAAATGCAACATTTGTAATTTTGATGAATTCGTTAAATGCATCAACATTTAAATAAATATATAATTAGTACAATCACTGTGAACTGTCGTACCCAGTAATCGCTTATTTCATGGCCCAACTTCTTGTAAACAACAGTTTGTCTAAACAATGTTAGTGACATAACACTCACAATGCAATAATGTGGTAATACTAACGCACATGTAACAATCATATACCTATCTTGTTAATCAATAACAAATTATAGGATTTGTAAATATACCGATATGAATAATTTTACGCACGAATAAATCTCTAACAGCTGCGCAATAACACATTCAATGTGCACAAACTTTCATAATTCATAATTCAAAATTTAAATAAACTACAAACTGCATTTAGCTGCAAATAATAACCATAGAAAATCATAATAATAATTGTGCATTCAATAACAGTTATATCAACTAAAACGATACTAAATAATGATTAGATGTAAGTTGGCAACCCGAAATGGATGACGTCATAACCATAATCTGCGTACATTCTATATGTAGGTGGGGCAATGTTGTAGACTAGTGCCGCACGCGTCGCACAGCTTGGCGTCTCGCTCGTTGACGAGGGTACAGGCGGGGCACTCGCGGCCGCCGGAGCGCAGCGGCTGGATGTCGGCGCCGCGCCGCGACTTGCCGCACATGTCGCAGGCCGCGGCGCCGCCCGCGTTCAGGAACGTGCACGTCCCACACTCCCACTTGTCCCCCCTGCGCACGTCACTGGGCGCGCCCTCCACCCTGTCCCTGTCTCCATTGTGTTGGCTGGGCGTCCTGCTCACCGGTCGCTCCCGGTCCCCATTGACCTGCGACTGTCGTGGCGGAGACCGTCTCACATGGTCCGTCTCGTCCAACGTCACTATTAGCTGCGCTTTTAGGTCGTAGTTAGGATTTGGTACTGAAATGACAACAGAGATTTCGTTAGTTTAAAACATATTTAGGGCAGTAAGTAAGTGTTTGGTTAAAGAATGTGATTGTGAAACGCACCTTGATTACTTTTGGAACTATGTGCTGAGCTATGAACTCCATTCTCCACTGGCTTGCTCTTCGGTTTGTCCAGTTCCGCGGCGACTAGTTTCGAGGGTTTCTTCACTTTCTTGACTTCAGCCGCATTACTGCTGGCTCCATTGACTGAACTTTGCTGCTTTATGACCTCTTTTCTGTCCTTAATATCTTTCTTACTCAGTAGCTTCACCTTGTCAGGCGCCACCTTTTGTGTTACTAACGCTTCAGCCTTAGGATTCCCGACCGGTTCTGGCACTGATCTTTTTGCTTTCAATTCAGCTTGCTTCTTCGCTAGCTGTTTCGCCCTCTTCAATTCTTGTTCTTGTTTCATCCTCATCAAGTTCTCAACCTTCGCAGTCCGGTATACTTCCTCGTCGTATGACCTGTCAAGGTTTAGAGCTTGTAAGCCGTCTTCCAGGTCGAGTGTTGTTGGCTGGTACTTGGCCCTCCTCTCTTCTCTGTCTAGCCTGTCAAGTGTCCTTGAATCTCTGTCTAGTGAGGGTGAGAATCGACTTCGTCCGTCTCCCTCTTGTTCTTTGCTCGACAAATTTCTAAATACATAGTCCCAGCTCTCGTACGTGCCCATGCCATCCTCTCTCGCCTTGCTGAGAGCTGGTTGCGTGTCGGACCGCGGTAAGCTCGGTAGTGAAACATCACTAAATCCAGATTTCGATGTGCTATTTCTTCTAGAAGATTCTGGATGCCTCTTCCTATGATTTCTATCATCGTCCTTATACTTTTCGAATTTACCGTTTTCGTAAACTGAAGGCGTGTCTAATTCGATGAGTTGGCCGGTGGGTACTGCGGGGTACCTGTATTGGGGCATCGGTGGGTATCCGTTAACGGGGACTGTGGCTGCATGTTTTATGGGGGCGTATACTGGGGTGGGGAGCATGTAGGGGGACTGTACGGGGTAGTAGTAGGGGACTCCGTATGGGGTCATCATGGGTATGGTGCTACACTGCGGCACCGTGACGGGCACGTCGGGGTGCATGTGTGGGGGGACGGGGTACATCATGTGCGGGAGCATGGGCGGCACCATGTACGGGGAGCACGCCATCATGCCCGGGGACTCCTGCTCCAGCTCGTCACACAGGTGGTTGCAGTGCTGGCTGCCGTGGTACCGCTCGTCTACCACTCGGCTTCGGTAGCTGTCCGTTACCGTTGTTGGGATGTTCGAATATATTTCTGCACCTGGAAAGCCAAGAAAGAATTGATTGAGCCAATGAATTATAGCATTTCCTCGATCAAAATATAATTGGGTACTTGCTTTATCAAAAATAAATTATTTCGACTGTTCAATACAATGAAATATTAAAAATAGTCACACTTATTGATTGATTTTATGGCCAACTTAGTTTAAGTGTTTTTTCAGTATTTTTTTAAGAAATAAGTACACTGTTTGACCCTAAAAAAACGTGACGTCACAATACACAATAACGAACAAAATTCATAGAAAACTGTCGTTTTTGACAGTTCGAAAAAAGTATTGAATTTGACTAGTTGGCAAGTATCCAATTAATTCCAAAGGTACTAACTGTCAGTGTAAGCTGGGTTGGTGTTCCGGTCGATGGTCCCAAGGCGTGAGGCCGCGAGTCTTGCGGCGGCGGCGCGGGGCGGCGCGGCGTGCGAGGCGCGCTCGCGCCACACGTCGCGCCACGACACGCGCCCGCCCAGGGACCACGCCTCCTCCCATATGTGCGCCATTATCTGCACACAGTAACTATCACAGTAACCACAACCACATCATTATGATCACAATGCCCACTATTATGCTTCTAACTGACGATGAAAAAAAACTTGACAAGTCCACATCTTTTTCAACTCTTTATTCAGATAAAGCATTATCCTGCTGGCTGAATCACAAAACTCAAAGGAACAATTAAATGTTTTCTTGAAATTCAGTTATGTGTAACTCAACTTCGAGAAAAATGCTAGGTATGTATATCAAATTGAGACGGCAATACCGTTTCTTGACCCGAGGATAAAGGTGCTTCCATTTTTGAACTATTCGTAATATTACAGACTACTAAACTCGACGTTTGGTAATGAACTATTACGACAAAAAAAAACAATTCGTGAAAAATGTCTCATGTTTTTAAATTTTTCTTTTATTTTAAGCCATTCACAGAAAACAATGACAAGTATAGATAATGGTATTTGAAATTTCAATGGCTAGCTAAATCATCTGCCTAATATAAATAAAACATTATTATTATAATTAAGTCTAGTTATCACTGTCTACATAACAATAAATAGAATATCATTGTTAAACCTTTACTCCATAGTTTTATATGATTAACTAAAGGTAAACAACCATAGCACAACTTGCATATAAAAATGTATTGAACAAATGAAAATTGTCATTTGAAAAGTACCTTTAATTAACTAAGAGAAAGGGTTTAAAACTCCTTTTCGGAAAGTTAGTATTGCTTTTATTTTTGATCACATTTTTCGTTCATACGTTGTGCAAAGATGTTATATGGAGTCCACATACTTGACATTCACACTGCGCTATGAGAGCGTCCCTGGATACTGCAGCAACCATGTCAGGGCATATTGGACCGTCCAGCTCCATTTGCCCTGCCCCTGAAGGTTTGTAGCCCATAGCCTGCAGTAGGGTCTCTGCTCCAACCATATTCGCTTCAACTTCATGCTTGAAATATCCGCAATATAACTGAAAAGTAGAATAGGTTCATAAATAAAAAAGAAAACCAAATAGGTAAGCGATCATCCCGCGATTAGGTGTTAAAAGGCTGCCATTTTTTGACAAAAACATGAATAAAGGAGACGTAAATCGTATAAAACTTTGGATCATTAAACAAACCAACTCTTATAATATTATATAACAATAATGAAAATCGTCATATCAGCCACAAGACGTCTACCGCTAAATAAAGGATTCTTAAAATGATTTAGATTATTATTAGGTTATCTGTCTTTTCTGTGATCTGGGCATTCACTCGCAATTTTTTTCTTTTTTATGACATAAGCCGCTAAACGAGCAGATGAATCTACTGATGGTAAGCAATCGGCGTTGCCCATGGACACCTGGAACACCAGAGGCGTTACAAGTACGTTACCGGCCTTTTGGGGATTACCAGTTTAAGGATTGTTGGGGATTCAGGGATTGGATAGATTAGGGAAGGTGGGGGGGATTGGGCCTTCGTTAACCTCACTAACACGACGAAACACAACGCAAGCGTTGCCACACGTCGGTTTTCTGTGAGGCCGTGGTATCACTCCGGTCGAGCCGGCCCATTCGTGCCGAAACATGGCTCTCCCACACTTAATAAATCTATTTTTCTATGGTCCTTTCTACTTACCCTTATGACTTTGTACTCCTTCCTCCAGGGTTGAGCTAACAGGTTGGCAGCGTATCTGGCGAGTGCTGCCCATCCTAGACCAGCTCGATACGCACTAAACTCTGTCAGTTCATTGATCGTCTTCTGGAACACTTTCCCAGTCTCCGCGAGCCCAAACTTGCATTCATGAGGCACTAATGATAGGTATTCTATTATGTAATCTGGAAAAAACAAATAACGTACACAATTGTAACAAAGGTTGTTTCTATACTAATATAGCGAGACCGACTGATATTCAAAATGTAATTAAAGAATTTAGGACTAATAATTCGGTATTTACTTGATATAGTTTAGAAGTGTACTCAATCAAGTCAGGATTTAAAATATTGAATTAGAAATTTTAAAATATTGACTGCCTCGTTGGCCGATAGTTATGTCGCAAGTGGTACTGCCGGATAAAGGGCCTAGTTACTAGTTTTTCTTTTTTAATTCTTAGTAGTAGAACAGAGTCTGGAATTGTGCACGGTATATGGCAATAGGCTCGCCCCCTATTACATGGGACTCATAACATAAATAGTGAAAAGTGGGTGTTATATTGTGCAGTGGCAATAAGTACCGTAATGTTCACCTCTGCCTACCTCTTCGGGGATAAAAGGCGTGATGTTATGTAATATAATGTAATGAATTACAAAGTTGTATCGACACAACGGTAACGCCCTTAACTCGTCTAGTATTGCGAGGACCTTCACTAGAAGCGACTATAGATTTCTATTTCTATTATTTCTAGATTAGACTGTGTGCCTATAAAATTACCTTCAAGCTTCTTCTTCTGGTCAAGTTTCTCGGGGCTGTCGTCGGTTTCGAGGTAGCTGTAGTGAGCATCCTCGATGCGGCGCCACAAGGCCGGCAGTCGCTCACGAAGCACCGCGTCGCCCATACCAGAGCACGACATCACCATCACAATGATACTGGTCAGGGGTCAACTGAAAGAGGGACAATTACAAAATTACTATTTCGCAAGCGGGACTAACTAGGTACTAAGCTAAAGACCCCTTCTTTGATTCAATACTCGAGGTGGGCAATCTGTCGGGGAGAATCTAGGGTTTTGAGGTTTTCTGGAATTATTCTCTAAGTGAGGTCATCTATAGGCTCCAGGCTTCCGGAGCTGCCGACAACCTAACGGGTTACTGAGTCTGCAGTTCGAAGGAACGGGGTGGTTAGTCAGTAAATCTGACACTTGCGTTCTCTTCACCTAAGGGGGTAAAAATCATCGGATGATTATCTCCCCTCAAAAAATTAACTTTACGCTTACATTGTATGAAAGAACCAAGATTTATCAGAATACATCTAATAGAGTTTTAGTATTCATCTTTCATTATTATGAGTAACTAATATTATTATTTATTCTAAGCCTGTGTCACAAACCAATACATCTGTCTATTGTTTGAATATTATACTTGGCACAATAACTGCGTCACTGTAGATACGTTGAACGTTGAACGCGAGTAGTAAATCATTTTAAACTAATGACTGGTTTAGTTTAACCTACATATCTCTCGGTTAGCGCACTATTTAAATAGACTTGGAAATAGATACGCTGATAATAAACGGCTTTTAAATACGAAGGAGTTATTATCAAGTTTTTTCATCTAATAGGTATAACTTGTATTAGTTCAAGCCGTGTAAGTACCTAAGGTAGCATCATCGCTTACCACCAGGCGAGATAGTGGTCAAACGTCGGCCCATCAAATATAAAAAACGGTATGTGGGTAGGTAATTGCTCTTTTTTACTAAACTGTGTAATGCAAGAAGGACAATATGTTTATCATTGATCAATTCTAATATCTAATATCATTTACGATACTGGGATGGTGGGATGAGAAACAACATATTATAGTTGTTTAGATGAAAATGTTAATTCAAGCGTCATATAGCGCGCTTGTAAAAACAACGGAACAATTAAGAGAAATCGTGAAACAATAGGCTTGAATTGATACGACTAGCATAGCTAGTAACCATTCAATAATTAGCGAAAGTTATAAGTATATGGTGGTACCTACAAACAAATTCGTCATTTAAAATGAACACCCTTAACATGAATTGAGGAATTTTCCACTAACATCTGTTCAGAGTCTGCTTTGGGCTGTACAAACACAATCACAACATTGTAAACACTATTATTGACAATTGACAACACACATCACACACACATTATCAACCAACAGAATTATCAACAAACAGAAGCGACTGGTATCCATGACAACCAACATTGTTATCAAACAAAGAATTCAATCAAAGAGTTCTTATTACGCATTTTTAATTTGATGCATTATGAATAAAACCTCCTTGACACACGACATAAAGTTGCAGTAACTATTTGTTACTTTGACCTTGTCACAATAGAGTTCAAATTCCAATGGCAAGAGTTTAAGGCAATGGAATGAGTCAGCGTCATAGGGGCGATATTTCCTTTTTCCTTATTACAGTGCAATACACTATAGTGATATATGTTTTAGGGTCTATTAAGAGGTGGATTAAACGTCAAAAAACCCCTGAATAGTCGCCAATCGGCGCTTTTTGGACATAACTTTGCTAGACTAAACAAAATTCTCTGCTGATTTGTATAAAGTATGTGAACTAGACTTGCATAATAAACATTAAATCAAGTCAAATATGTTCAAAATTTTTCAAGTTATCTAAGGAAATTGCAAACCATTGGTTAAATAACACAAATGGTGACAAACTATTGTTTTGTTGAACAAAAGGTGCATGCTCTAATAGATACAAAGCTTTGCAGAGAGAGCAGTCAATCAGCTATTGACGAGTAAAGAGCACAATTCAGAATGAGTCATGCAAGCATTGTTTAACAAATACATCAATACTCCATTCATAGATGACAAAACACGAATTAGTTGTGTTATTTGATACTGATTGATCCTCTATTAATGTTTCAGATTATCTTTAATGCCATGTGGATGATTTGTCATTGTTTTGGACTTTGAGCTGTTTGATGGGCACTGCGAAATCAAGTAAATAATTTGTTAGCCAGAGGTTCCAAGGTTTTTTTTATATTGATAATGTTTGGACTTCACATCTATGAATTATTAGACTGAAAACTGTTTAGATAAATATTGTACAATGACATAGTTTATACATAACCAGTTATTATAATCATTATATACGAGATATATTATAAATGGTAGTTAAATATTATTTTTTTCATGAGAATTTAGGTAGATTAGGTTCATTTGTTATGGAGGTTTCTCCTTCTCGGGGTTGACCCGGTGAAAATTGGCACCGCGTCCCACAACCCGCAGGAAAAACAATGCCCCCTTCTAAATTTGGTTTCTAAATCTCCTTCTTCCTCTTCTGCTGACTACTTAACTACTCATACTGTCTGTGTGTGGTTCTGTAGATTAGGTAGTATTAGGTTCCATTATAGTAAAAATTATAATTCTTTTTCGCTGTCATTAGCAACACAGCTTTCGGGCCACCTGAAGGTGGCTGCTTCAGTATGCCAAAGACACCAGCAAGAGTATGTTGCTGATGTTACAGCTAGGAGGTTAACGCTGAATTCTTATGCTTGGCAGCCAGTCTTGTCACTACTCCAGCTCATAATGGTATATGTGGATTGATTGTATGATATTCTTTTGAAATGGAATATAATAGAAAAACTGGATGATTTTTTGTTAAACTTCTGTTTGTAAATAAACCAATCAGACTAATTTTTGACCTTTGTTTTTAAAGCAGTCTTCATTAAATAATAGTTCAAAATTCGAAAATACAATAAAAACGAAGAATGTCTATTTGTTTTATTATTTCCAACATGTCAAATTACTATCGGTTGATGGTCTGATAATGCAGGTGTGATAAGAATAGGCAGTCTATTTGCTAGTAACAAATAAAATTACTGATAAGATAAGTGTTAGATAGTAGGTATACACATACATAATGTGGTGTGTAGATAGTGACTCATATACTATTTATGCTACTAACCAGACAAACTTATGTATATGTATTGTATATTTGACTTAGGACATCAAATATATCCAATTAAGTTTTGTTAGATTAATGTTGGAGAATTATTTGAAGTATTTTTTAATAGCAAATATGCTTGTTGCGCTAACAGTAACTTAATTAGACAATGTGAAACGGGTTGTTGGTATTGATGAAATTGATAAATAAAAATTGTCTTTTACAATCTGCTTTATTAATATTGTATTTTGTACTTTTATTTAAAATTTATTTAAAGTAGGTACCTGTCTGATGTATGTAATAATTTGTATTGAAATAGTTAAATCAGGGAGTAGATATTAATTTAATAGTTTTATTGTACAACAAACTCAAATTGAGTTTTTTAAACAAGGTGAATGACCCTGAATCAAAAATATTATTTTTATTTGTTATGCACAAACATCTACAGATAATTTCATATTGTTGTAATTTGATACTTTATCATCAATAAAGTACTGCTTATAGTCTAGTGCAAGCTAGAAGTACTTAAAATAAAACAATAAAATATTCTCTGATAAATATACTTGTGATCTGATCATGATTTCAATGAATATAAGTATAAATATTTACTATCTCACTAGCTCATACTTAGCCAACTAGAACTCAATTACAGATGAAATATAGTGTGTAAATTAGAAAAGATAAGAGCAAAAATTAACGCTTGAATAAAAGAATCTATGAAAGCGACGTTCAAGCAAAAAATAATGCTAATGATCATACTCCCACGCGACAAGTCAATGTGCGATTCATACCACATTTAACCTAATTCTAGTCTACAGCTGTTACCTATCAAGCATATTAGGGTCTAACGAACTTACTGTACAGGAAGAACATTCTTTTCCTGGATGTCAAAATTTATTCCAATGCACCGAAACTAGAGCGGACAAAAATAGTTCACCCAAAATAACAAAGTGGCCGCTGCGAACTGATATCCAATTATCACAAACAAATATTATACACATCTCATAATCACAGCTTAGTTCAATTTACAATAAAACTAACAAATCCCGAGTAAATATCAAAAGAATTAAAAATAGTAGAACAAAATTTTGGGATTTTGTTTTGACGTTTATTACTACTACGTTGCACAGATTAAAAATGACACACCATTTTGACGTAATGACGTCCCATTCGTTGTTTCTCGTCTGTGGTTTTTTTATTTTACCATAGACCTTCCTATACTTAAAGACTACGTTTGACATATTTTTAAATAAGAACGCTTTAGTGTTATATGAAACTGCTTGACTTGAAACAAGTTAAAATTTATTGATTGACTTTTTGACAATATACACGAAAATAGTATCGTCATGGTTAAATATGTTTTATTTTCTGATCCTTTACGCCAAGAAGAAATAGATAAATTCTACACGGTATTTATTGCACTTCAGATTTCTAGTGCATCTTAGAACCTTTTAAGAGATTTGTTAAACGAAATAATTTTTCAAAAATCGATGTACTTTTTTCAGGTTTGTCAAATGCATCGTGATTATTATAGAGGCTACCCTCGATCTTATCATCCACTCGCCTTCTTTAGAGAACCTGAATATATGTGGCAGTGTCCGCAAGAAATGTCTCAGTAAGTATTACACGACATTCATGTATAATTTATAATTTTTTTGTTTTTATATTAATTATAAAAATGTTCTTATTGTTTTGTTAATTTGCAGCGTATACCTAGATTTCCCGCCTTACCATGTAAAGTATAAACAGCCCGCTGTATTGCCAGTAACTCTGGAAAGAACCTCAGTATTTCCATCTCTACCTGAAAGAACATTAGCTGGTCGGTACAACAAAAGTGCTTGCCTTGCTTTCAAGTATTAAAAGTACCTACGGAAGAAAGCAATGACTAGTTGAAAACGTTGTAATTTGATTAATCTCAAACATGAATTAAAATATCTCATAATGATGAAATAAATTAAATATTTTCTCTGCAAATGATATTTA